CCCGGTCCCCCCATGTCAAAAAAAGCCCGGCCTAGGTAGGGTTAAAAAATCATTAACTTTTCATTGCCAATGATACATTCTGACAACGTTTAACATGTGCTAAATGGGAAATAACAAACTAAGAACTCTAAGGTCTAAAAAATAAGGTCTCCTACATGCTGTACTTAATATACTTTGCCTATTTATTTTCCAGGTGCAGTCCCTTTATCAGCAAAAAACTATGATCAGTACGACTGGTATAACTATGAAGATGCAGGCTCAGGTATGGCTATTGAAAATACAGTAACTTGAATGACGGTGAATATTACACAGAAATCTCTAAGGGCCACAAACCTGAATATGTGACCAATTAAACCATTATCTAATTATCTTATTGTTTCTTCATTTAAGTGTCATTTCTCGTAATTTTCTCATCCGACAAATGTAGATATTGATCACTTTTTCAGCTAAAATATATTGCAATATCCGCTGCTTAAACGTAATTAGTAGCAATGAACTTATAACATATCTTCCCAGAAGAAAAAAAAAAGATACCACACTCTATAATGCTGTCGGTTTTGTTTGATTGGTTTCCATTAACACTATTTCTGGATTAAAGTGAGTTAAAGTTATATTGACAGGGTGTTTCATTTGGGATTTACTTGGGATTACATATGAAGCTAAACCATCTATGAGTATCACTTGACATGTTTTTCGACACTTTATTTTACTTTCGTTACCCTATGTGTTGATATAACCGATAGCACGTTCAGTTTGTTAACTGAAGGTTTTTTGTATTTTTTTAGGAGAAAACGATGTGAATGGAGACTACAGGAATGAAGAAAGGGGGCTAGATGCAAACATCTTTGGTATGCTCAACGTTTTGTATTTATATATATAATATATATATATATATATATATATATATATATATACACATACACATACACATACATATATATATATATATACGTTGGGCTAAAATGATTCAAGGTTTAATTTAAAGAAATGTGGATATTTATTGCATTTAGAATAAAAAAAACAGATACAAATGTAATAAATGAGACTTACATTTAACCATTATGGATATCTAACGTTATTAACCTATTAGTATAAGTGAATTGAATATTCCGTATTACACGTGTTTTAGGTTGAATCGGAAAATACATACTTGCAATAAGTAGTCTATTGCGAAATTATTTGGCCTTAAACCAAAGCAATTTAATAAAAATGACAATTTTATATAACTGCTATGAGGTTATCTGTCTACAGACACCTTTCTTGTGAGAAATGGCGAGCAAGACACCAAAGAAATCAACAATGATGATGGAGGCTCAGGTACAGCGATTGAATAACAACAATGGATGAATTGAAACAAAAGCGTTAATCGGGCTGATTTAGTCATGAGTGCCGATCCCAAATTTAATGTATATTGATTTATTTGATAAGCAATTTTCATCTAAAATATTTCAAACGATAGTAATTACACTTGTTTGTTGACACAACCTGGTCAAAGTCCTGCCACTAATGAATTTCTGCTGCTTTTAACAGGTGAAAATTATGTGCTCGAGACAGAAGACTACAATAATGAAAAAAGAGGACTAGATTCGACCGCCGAAGGTACTACCGGACGTCATTTCTATAGCAAGTTTTAAATGTATGGCCAATGTTATTAATGCATTAATTAACATCACCGAGCAACTAATTATTGATTACAAAAATCTAAAATGTTTTTTGTCTACAGATCCTGATTTTGAAGAGGGAAGCGGCGATATAACCACACGCGGTAAAGTATCTAATTTGACTTCTTGGCCTTAACTGACGACGTATTTAATAGAATAGAATAGTATAGAATAAAATAAAATAGAATTTAATAGACTAAAGATAAAATAAAACGGAATACATTAGAATAGAATGACAAACTTTAATACGATATTTTGATGAAGCAGGCAATATTTTACATGGATGATGCATAGCAAATCAACTTTACAAGCTGCAATTAAATGTCCTGAAACGACGGTAAGTGCTATCATGTAGTATGTGCATGGATTGACAGACAACGCACCATTTATACTGCTGCAAAATGTTTCAGGTCTAGCTGGGCAGAATAAACGTCAGCTCGAGGCTTTGATCGGCTCAGAAGGTAAGTGTTTACTTCAAACAATCAACACTATTTTGATTAGCCGTTATATCCATATCATAATTGTAAAAAAAATAGCATTAAATGTATTTCAATGGACGGTATAGGGCTGGTGAATAGAAACTTAAATGCGGTGTCATTTTTTAGCTTTATCTGGAAGATTCCATACTTAAAATTGCGATAAATTGAATTAAATTCACTTGTTTTCAAAGGTGTTGGGCATCTGGTGTCGGCAGCAACAGACATCGGGGTTAATGTTGTCAACAAGATTTTTGACTGGATTGCCGGGTCCGGGGGTGAATCAAAACTGGAGAAGGTATCAAGCGGTCTGCAGGACTACCTGGGGAAACAGATGGACAAGTTCGACGATGAGTACAAAGACCTGCTGAAGGACACCAGTGGGCTGGCAGCGGGTTTGAACCGACCAGTGAAAGAGGTGAGTTAGTTCTTAGACAAATTTATGCGTTTTATAGATAAATGCTTCTAAAAGTCTGATACATGGCAGTACTGTAAATAATTAAATACATTAAGATATTAATTAACTGAATACGTTTACCTTCATGAAAAATTAAGGAATTGTTTTTGGTATGTCTGTCCGTGTGTGTCTGTGTTCGCACATTTAAAGTCAGCATACCTTGAATTGTGACTATATTTGGTATGTTGGTAGAAAGACAAAGGCCAAGGTCAAATATGGGCCTCCTGGTGGATGACCTTGGTACTGCAGCAGAACTTCCGGTTTTTATATCTTTGTTCTGAACATACTTTGGTCTTTCGTTTTTGATAACAGATAGCTTTCCTGTCATGAATAAGTGGTGTGGATTTTGTCATTTTAACAGCTTGTTCTGAAACTGCAGTGACGTTTTTGGTGAATTTTTTAAAAGTCCATAAAGGAACGTGTATTTTCATCATTTTTGTTATGTAGGTAACTTGTTGGGGCATGTACCTAATTAAATGCAAAAATTTGCGAATGAAACCTTGCATTGATTTCCATAACTCTAATTACAGTGTCATTATACATGTAATGTAATTTTTACCTTATTGACATTATCAGTGAGACAAATCCCCCACCCCAATTCACATAAGCTGTACATATTTCATGGAGGTATGAGATCTCCGAATTCTTGTTATTTAAAATGTTTTTGTCAAGAGCAGTATGTTGACATAAGTTGTTGGTCTACTTAGGCGGACATCCAGCTCGTTCCCAAGCCAGGAGGAACAATGGGTAACATGTATGCACCGCCAGGCTGGGAGATCCGACATAAGTACAAGTACAAGGAAGACAGGTTTTACTTTAATCCTTACCTTATTATTATATATAGCAGTAAAAAGGATAATTTCAGCGAACAAACACCTTGTACCTTTGCTAAGAGAGCCTGTAAACTCCTGTATCAAACAAATAACCGGTGGCAAAGGTAAAAATGCTCGAAACACCTCTGAACAAGATATAGATTTTGACCATTCCCTGAATAGTAATAGTAAAAAATAATAATTATCTAGTGTAACATTTTAAACCTATTTAATAACAAGTTTTTATCATAATGATTTCTCCGTGATACAAGTGATAAGGATAAGGTCAGTTCCGGCGGACAAGCAGCAGCCTACACCTACCCAGCCGGACTAGGACCAGTTCTGATGAACGGCTGCTTTGGAACAGGTTATAAGAATGGAGACCCCTGCTACAAGGCCAAGATTCCAAGAACAGGCTGCCCGGTAAGCTTATAGGTTCTTTAATCGGGTAGTACTAATTTCTTTATTTGTATGACATCTCTTGGCACTTTTTATTTGATGAAAAGTGTGGCTTAAGAATGTTTTACAAGACTGATGAAAAGAAGACAACATAGTATATGAAACAACATTTTTTTTTCATTTTTTTTTTGTCCATCACTCCACCTGTCTTTTCAGCATTTTTTTTAAAAGGAAAGGCACTAGTGTAGTTTTTGCAATATTATTTCTAAAACTATGAAAACCGAGATGTCCAAAAATTGCATTAGTCATAATTGCATTTTCAATCATAATGATTACACGTTAAACTTTTGCAAATGACCAAACTATGTTTTAACATAACTTTCAATTTTTTTTACACAAAATGAGCTAACTTATTGTACATTTTTTTGCATTGTCTAATTATCATTAGGCTAATAGTTAATAACGAGTCACCAAGGTGACTAATCACCTGGTTTACTAAATATCAGAGTAACATTACCTAACCATCCATTCCCATATTTGCCTAAGGCCAGTTTTTAGACCATATTTTGTTTTGTTACCTCAAAATCAGGAATGTTGTCTCACTTGTAGAACCTAATTGACGGTGCAACCTACCTCGGCGTCGGTTTTGACGGAAGGGGTGTGTACTCGGCTGAATCAAGGAAGAAAAGTATCATCCAGAGATCATGCAGCAACCTGCAAACGTAAGATGACAATTACGCTTACCAAGCTACTTTCGTCACGTAAGATTGCGAATTTAGAATTTGAAAATTTCATTTACTTACCCCACACCGACTTAATTTTCTGGATGAAATTCTCTGAAGACCACCAAACTAGTGCGCGCGGCCGCGCGGGCGAATAAAAAAAAAATTGCGGCCAAAAACAAAAATGCTACTAAACCATAGGAATACAAAGCTGGTATTGTGAATCTGCGGCAGTATACAGAGACGTACGTATGGCACATGTTGGACCGTCGCGGAATTTATGAATCGCCACTGCACGTACGTACATGAGTTCTTGAGTCGTGGACCATCGGTGGCCTGAGTGCCATCCCCCAGAGCTACCACCGGCTCTGCATTGTTGCTAACTACCATGAACTACATGTATCTAGGCCTAGCCTCTGATCGAGGACTTTATCTTTTTTTTTTTTGAGAACAGGCGAAAATCAATGCGCGCATGAATGTCATCCATAAAATTAAGTCGGCGTGGCCTAAGTATAAGGTCTATTGTTGCACAAATCCCAAAATTATCCTGATGTTTTTGCGTGGCTTGTTGTGCAATTTAATTTTTTGTGGTTAGTAGTTGCAGCAGTTGGCAAGCCAATTTCCTTCCAATGTACAATCAGTAAATATATTTATTAAAACATTTTTACATGGGCAGGTTAGCTAGCTGTGTGGTACTCACATGTGAAAAAATGTTGAACGAGATTTAAACAACCATCCTTTCATCAGTTTTAGCTTTTCATTTTCACTAATGTCCGAATAGGGAAGTTAAGAAATCCAGATGTTGAATTTAGCGAGGGTTACAGCTTAATTACTATTTATTGTATTTTGAAACCAGAGCAATATGTGTTGGAAGCTAATAAAAGGAGAATATCAAATAGAATACAGAAATGCGGTGTCAACAAGAGAAAATGACTATTTTTTCACCCTTTGACGCGAAGCGGTTTTGCGTCGTGTTTAACCCTACCTAGACCGGGCTTTTTTTGACATGGGGGGACCGGGGGGCTCTTTTGACCCCCCCCACCTAAGAACTCGCGAACAGCATGTCGCATGACCACTAAATTTTCAGAGGATGGTGTACTAGTGAAATTTTATCATATCTATCATTTTTATATCGTTATGACGTAATACGACGTCATTATGACGTCATTAATGTGGTTTTATTGGCCAAAACCGTCTAAATAGGTTTTTTTCCTTAAAACTAAATGGTATTCAACATAACTGTACCAAAAGTGTTTATGATAGAATATTATGGTGTACTAAGTTTTATGTTGCCCATAGCAACACCGGTATGACGTCATGCATATTTAAGATATCCGCAATCTTGGATCATCAATCTTGAATTTTAAAAAATAGTTTTTCTTCATGATAAAGCCTAAAATACATTGTAAACATACTAAAGACCTTCATTAAACCTTTTTTGGATAAAGAAATGGAAG